AATGTTAAAATGGCTATAACTTCTTCTAAAAAAATGATATTAACAATCTGCGAAATGATCCAGAAAATAGACATCCGTAGCTTTCCAAGCATTTTTATTTGTTCACAATTTGCTTCCAAAGTCAGCTGACCTGCACAGGCAGTTTTGACGAATTTGTTACTTAAAATCCCACTTGTGCTATTTTTCTTTTCTTTGCTTGACAAATCCTACAAAACACAAAAACAAAGTAAATAGCTTAAAAATATAAGGAATTAACTAAGAAAAGAGAAGTGAATTTGATGTAAAATATATACAAATGTGAGCTTATCAAATACCCCCACACTTAGCTTTGCTAGTCCTCGAGCAAAACGAAGAAAATATGAAAATGTAGCAACATGAAAAATAATAGCTTCCCCCTATGTGACCCTCATAAAATTTCATGTAAGAAAACAAATCATCAAGAACCTTAGCTAGCACCAAACAAGCTAATCCAAGCTCATTTGCCTTATTCAAATGTTAGCATTAACCTTTTAATCATCCATGAAGTGTAGTGTGTGTAATAACCATGCTAATGCAATTTCAAGTTTTTTTTTTAAAACACCACATGCAACCTAGTGACCTTCTCACGGAACATACACTCAATCACACATATGTTTAGTTTAACGTGTTTCGCTCAAAGAATCAAATGTGAAAGATCTACCATAAGCTTGCATAAAAATTTCATCTCCACAATCATAATTGCAAAACTTAAATCAAGAGGACTTTTATTGGTTGTAATGAGGCTTAGGGAAAGGGTTATAGAAATGAAGGGATAGGTAAACACAAGTTCCAAGCTACATTGCAAGCAATTCTCTTGTTGAGATTTATAAGAACTCAAGTTCTCCAACCACTCTGCTAATACCTCCAACCACACCCCTAAATTGAAACTTAAAACAAAAACTTTATATTTGCTTTGTATACAATATTTCTTTTCTTTTTCTTCTTTTTCTTCTTTTTTTCTTTTTTTTTCTTTTTTTTCTTTTTTTTTCTTTTTGAATCAATTTGCACATAACTAAATACAAACATGAAATACTCCCACACTTATTCTTTTTCCAAACTTCTTCAAAGTACTTCACAAACATTTCTCATAAGACAATCTCACATTGCTCACTAGCTAGCTTGGAAATGGTAAGGAAAAATGTGTAAGGTATAAGGGTAGACATATCTGGTGATAAGAAATAAAAGGCTCAACATATACGGCTCAAATTGGCAATCTAATGATATCATTTTTCCGGGAAACATGCTCATTTGGGCCATGGTGATAAACCTAATGCCTCTATCATTTTCAAGTTCATGCAATCAAATGACAAACATTTCGAAAGATCATTACGCAAGTTCTAGAGATGTAAGTCACAGAAGTTCATCACACATGAAAGAACACACTTTCAATAGGCTCAAAAACTCACATAGGTTGTATATGGTCACTATATTCACATGCGAAGCTTTAAGTCATACTTTAGTTTCACATCAACAAGGCTATGTGGATTTGGTTTTTCAAAGATGATTAAACATGTACAAGGCTAACAAGAGAATAAGGAATTTCACATAACACATTCTTACTAAGTTCTTGATCACCGTGGTTCAAATTCAATCCAATTATATCATTGGGTCAGGAAACTAACAAAAATCTAATTCAAAACAATAAAGAAAATAAGACTATTTTTTTTTGGATTTTCACATTTTCAGATTTTTTTTTTTGGTTTTTTTAAAGTAAACAAAACTAATTAAGAAAACAAAAAGAAACAACACGGAAACAAATCAAACCAGTTCTTAGTCGAAGGTACGAAAATTTTCAATTTAGTCATGTTTTTTTTCAATCGTTACCCCCAAACTTAAACTAGACATTGTCCCCAATGTCAAAAAAACACAATAATGCATAAAATTAAAAATAAAATAAAATAGTAAGAAACAAAATAAAGCATTTGGACTGAAAACTTCCCCAATTTTCAGTAAAAGCAAGCGATGACCCCCAAACTCCAATTCTGCAATCAACTTCAAAGGTGGGCACTATAAAATTTTCCTACAAAGAAAAGAAATAATTCAGTTTAAGCATGCAAGAAAATTCAGAAAACAAAAACAAACTGAAAATTGAAAATGACATAAAAAGACAATGAATAGAAATATTGGGTTGCCTCCCAATAAACGCTTGTTTTTACATCTGTAGCCAGATGGTACCAAAAGTAATCATCCAAGGGGAGATGGTTCTTGGAGGGGTACAACCTCCACATCATGCTCCGCAAAAGACTCGTAATATGGCTTGAGTCTATGTCCATTCACTTTGAACATGTTTTCGGTCTTTGCACTTTGGGTTTCCACTGCACCATGATGAAAAATATTAGTTATAACAAATGGACCAACCCATCAAGAACGAAGCTTACCTGGAAATAACTGAAGGCAAGAATTAAATAGAAGAACTTTTTGTCCAATGGCAAAGCTCTTCCTTGATATCATCTTATCATGAAATGCCTTTGATTTCTTCTTGTATATTCAACTAGACTCGTATGCATCATTCAAGATTTCGTCTAACTCATTCAATTGAAGCTTTCTATGTTGTCCGACAACACTCATGTCCATGTTGTAGGCTTTGATCGCCCAATAAGATTTGTGTTCTAACTCTACTAGAAGACTACATGGTTTCTCATAAACTAACCGAAATGGGGACATTCCAATAGGAGTTTTATAAGCAGTCCTATAAGCCCACAATGCATCGTTCAAGCGCATGCTCCAATCCTTCCTACTAGGACTCACAATTTTCTCCAAAATTTGCTTCACCTCACAATTTGATACTTCTGCTTGACCACTAGTTTGTGGATGATAAGGTGTAAACACCTTAAGTGTGACATTGTACTTCTTAAGCAACGCTTCAAATGTTCTATTGCAAAAATGACTCCCTATATCGCTGATGATTGCTTTAGGTATTCCAAATCTTGCAAAGATGTTAGTCTTAATAAAGTCTGAAACAACTCTTGAATCATTTGTTTTGGTGGCTTTTGCTTCCACCCATTTAGAAACATAATCCACAGCCAATAAAATGTAAAGAAAACCATTAGAAGATGGAAAATGTCTCATGAAATCAATGCCCCACACATCAAAAATCACAACAATCAAAATAGGGGTTTGTAGCATTTGATTTCTTGGGCCCAAGTTACCTGTTTGTTGACAACGATCACATGTTGCACAAAACTCGTACGCATCCTTAAACAAACTAGGCCAATAAAAACCATTCTCTAACACCTTAAGAGTTGTCCTCTTTGCTCCAAAATGGCCGCCACATGCATAAGAATGACAAAAAGTTAGAATAGATTTAAACTCAGATTTGGGGACACACCTTCTAATCAATTGATCAAGACAATATTTCCACAAATAAGGATCATCCCACTCGTAGTATTTGGCAATTTTGACAAGCTTATCTTTCTGAGCACGTGTAAAATCATTCGGAATCTTTTTGGTGACCTTGTAATTGATAATATCTGCATACCAAGGGTCAGTAGCCTTTAATGAAAACAATTGCTCATCCGGAAAACTCTCATGTAAAGGGTGAGATCTTCCTCTGTGTTTGAATGCACAAGTCTGCTAAGATGATCTGCTATAACATTCTCACTCCCTTTCTTATTCTTGATCTCCAAGTCAAACTCTTGAAGTAGAAGTATCCATTGAATGAATCGCAGTTTTGCATTTTTTTTTTTTGTGAGTGGATACTTCAAAGTTGCATGGTCAGAAAACACAATAACTTTAGTCCCAATCAGATAAGATCTAAATTTTTCTAAAGCAAATATAACAGCTAAAAGCTCATTCTCTGTTGTTGAATAATTCAACTGTGCATCATTGAGTGTTCGAGATGCATAATAGACGACATGTGGCACTTTGTTGACACGCTGCCCTAGAACTGCATCGACGGCATAGTCTGAAGCATCGCACATCAACTCAAAAGGTAAACTCAAATGTGGTGGTATGATCACATGAACCGTGGATAACAACTCCTTAAGCTTGTTGAATGCTACCACACACTCTTCATTCATATCAAATGTGCATCCTTTTTAAGTAAACGGCACAAGGGTCTAGAAATCATTGAGATGTCCTTCATAAACCTACGGTAGAAACTTGCATGTCCAAGAAAATAACGAACCTCCCTAACGGTAGTAAGAAGGGGTAAAGAACTAACAAGTTATACTTTAGATTTATCAACTTCAATTCCATTTTCAGATATGATATGCTCTAGAACTAATCCATGTGAAACCATGAAATGACATTTTTCCCAATTTAAGACCAAATTAGTTCTTGACAACGTTTTAAAACTAGTGACAAATTATGTAGACATGTATCAAAAGAATCATCATAAACTGAAAAATCATCCATGAACACTTCAATTATTTTCTCAATCATATCAGAAAAGACACTTACCATACACCTTTGAAATGTGGCGGGAGCGTTGCAAAGTCCAAACGGCATCCTCCGGTATGCAAATGTGCCAAAGGGACATGTGAAAGTTGTCTTTTCTTGATCCTCCGGAGCAACTGCAATCTGATTATATCCAGAATAGCCATCAAGAAAGCAATAATAAGAATGACCAGCTAACGTTTCTAACATTTGATCAATGAATGAGACTAGAAAGTGATCCTTGCGTGTGGTACTGTTTATCTTCTGATATTCTGTACATACTCTCCAACTATTTTGCACATGTGTATGCACTAGCTCATTAGCTTCATTCTTAACAATTGTGACTTCGGATCGCTTCAGAACTACTTGAACATGGCTCACCAACTTGCTGTCCTTGATAGGATATATGATGCCAACATCAAGAAGTTTGATAACCTCTTTCTTGATAACCTCCATCATGAGTGGGTTCAAACGGCGTTGAGCTTCCTTTGTTGGTTTTACACCTTCCTCCAATAGAATCCTATGCATACATGTAGCTGGATTTATACCTTTAATATCTGCAATGCTCCAAGCTATGGCAGTTTTGTGATCCTTCAGTACCTAGATTAGTTTCTCCCTCTTTCTACTGTGAGTTGTGATGATATGATGACTGGTAATGTTTCATCCTCTCCCAAAAATGCATACTTCAATTGTTCAGGAATCGGTTTAAGCTCCAATTTGGGTGCCTGAATCATAGAATGAGGAGTTTTTTCGTTAGAAGTAGGAAGAGAAATAAAATAGGAAGAAGACTTACCACGGACTGGTGAAAGAGACTCAAGGGCTGCCACTGTCTGGATTAATTCTTCTTCACTATGCTCGGAATAATTAAGATGTCCATGTGTAATGCTATGCACTAACGCCTTCTCTAAATTATCTTGTCCCACACCTTCATTAAAACAATCCTGCACAAAATTGTCAAACACATCAATAGACAAACAATATTCAAAATCACTAGGGTACCTCATAACATTGAAGATTTTGAACTTGACGTTTTCTCCACCAATTTTCATGGTTAAGGTACCATCGTAGACATCAATCTTCATACGTGCCGTTCTAAGGAATGATCTTCCCAATATAAGAGGAAGTGTAGTAGGCATAGGGTCTTGTTCCATCTCAAGAACAAAAAAGTCAGCAGGAAAAATGAGCTCATTCACTTGCACAAGTACATCCTCCAATAGGTCTGTGGGATATCTATTTGAACGATCTACCAACTGGATTACTACATTTGTTTCCTTCAAGTATCCAATTTTCAATGATTCATACACTGAATATGGCATCAAATTGATGGATGCACCAAAATCACACAATGTTCTCCCAAACTCTTTCCCTTCGATTACACATGGAATGGTAAAGCTATCGGCATCTTTCAACTTCAGTGGCAGCTTCCTCTGTAAAACAGCTGACACTTCCTCGCTTAATGCCATATTTTCTTGATCATTGAATCTCCTCTTGTTCGTACAAAGCTCTTTAAGGAACTTTGCATACTTGGGCACTTGTTTTATGGCATCTAAAAGAGGTAAGTTCACTTGGACTTTTCGGAAAGTATCCAAAATTGCCTTATTAGTTTGCTCTTTCTTAGACTTCATAAACCTACGAGGAAAAGGAACAGGGACACCTGAGTTAAATGAATTTTGAACTTCTTTACTTACCTTATCAGAATCTTTTGTGTTCAATTCTGTAGCTTTGGAAGACTTTTTAGTTTCTGTTGAAGCCTCATCTTGCTCTAGATTCTTGGTTTGTAACTCCCCTTGCTCATTTGTATCTTTTCTAGTCCTCTTTTGCATCCTTCATTGCTCAAAAACTTCTTTTCCAGTCCTTAAAGTCACAACATTCATCTGTTTCGCATTTGGATTCACCACGGTCTAGCTAGGCAACCTTCTTGGTTGGTGTTGTTGCCCCATCAAACTTGCTAACTGACTTATTTGGTGCTCAAGGTTTTCAATTGCTTTGTGTGTTTTCTGTTGATGAGATTGAGTAGAGTTAGCTAAAGAAGCAATTAAATCCTCAAGAGACTTACTTGGAGCTTGTTGTTGTTGAGGCTGAAATGGTGCATACGGTCTTGCTTGAAAGAAGCCAGGTGGACGTTTATAGTTATTAGGAACATATCGTTGTCTGTTGTCTTGATTGTTCCACTTTAAGTGTGGATGATCGCGCCACCCCGCGTTATAGTTGTTGGGGTATGGATCATACTTTTGCCTTTGTTGCCCCTGAAACCTTCCTAATGCATTAGCTTGCTCAAGACCACCTTGATCCATCAATGAAGGGCACATGTCCGTGGCATGTCTCATCATTGAACATACACCGCACACCTATTTTGGAGCCACCATAACATGTTGCACAAGATTAGTCAAGTTAGCTAATTGTAATTCAATACTAGAATTAGCACTTACCTCATTAACTTTCTTAAAAGGTAGCTCATCTCTCCCTCCAAATTGTCGTGTATTGCCAGCAATGTTCTTTAATAATGCCTTAGCATTTGTTGGTGTCTTGTCCATGAATGCTCATCCACTTGCTGCATCAAGCATTACACGATCAGTACCACACAATCCTTCATAAAAATATTGTATTAAAAATGCTCTGAAATTTGATGATTAGGACAAGATGCAACTAAATGTGTGAATCGCTCATAGTAATCTCCATAGGGTTCTCCATGTTGTTGTCGGATTGCACATATGTCTTTCCTTATGCTTGCAGCTTTTGTGGCCAGAAAATATTGCTCCAAGAATGCTTGCTTCACCTAGTTCTATGTGTTCATTGATCCCGAAGGTAAATTGTAAAGCCACTCCTTTGCCTTAGCTTCTAATGTAAATGGGAATGCCCTCAACTTAAATTGCTCCTCATCCGCATTTGATGGTCTCATTCCCGAGTATACCACGTGAAAATCCTTGAGATGCTTGTTGGCATCCTCTGTTGAGAAGCCATGGAACTTAGGCAAGTAGTGAATCATGTCGGACTTGAGCTCAAATCCTCCTTCTGCATTTGGATATGTGAAGCACAATGGTTGTTGATTTGTATATGGTGTTGCCAACTCCCTCAAAGTACGGTTATCAACCATGCCTTCTTGTGGTTCTTCCTCCTCTTCTGAACTCAAATGTGGTGGAGAAAATGGTGGTAAAGACACTGATGCACGCTTCTACTTGATTTTTCTTTGAAGCTTTCGAAGTGTTCGTTCAAGCTAAGGATCGTAGGAAGCAAGATCAATGCTCTTGGACCTTTGAGTATGCATATACTACGAAGAGTACCTGAAATAAAAACAAAAACAAAAACACTAATTAGGCAAGAAAAGAAAACAATAGAAAATAAGTAATTAGAAATAACAATCCCCGGCGACATGGCGCCAAAATTTGATAAGATTAAAAGCACACCACAAAGTAGCACACAAATGTCCTATTGATTTTCCTTATTAACACTAAGATTTGTCAATTGTAGCATATGAAAATAAGGGTCTTTCCTGCAGAAGATTGTTTTATCATGTCGAACAAAAATAGGACAGAAACAAATTTTAAGTAGTTCACAATTTAAGAAAAACAAATTAGGGGAATTGTTATCCACCACCAAATATGCAAACATGTTATGTTTCATTCAAATTCCTTTTATTTCAGGATGAAGATGCTCAAGTTGGCTCAACGTTAGAATTCAACCTATTACTCTTTCTTATGTAGTATGTTAAGAGAATGGCGTTTTCAACTTAACTTAGTCCCTAGCATGCAATCTAGAATGGCGTGTTCATAGATTTAACAAGTAGAAATCATTAAGAACGAAAAGAGTTTGAGTCATCACAAGGCATCGTAAGTACTGGCGTTGTCTTACTTATCCTAGAAATTGGTTCACATGTTAATCGCAATTAACAAGTACTACTTTAGAGCATATGTAGGTCCTCATTTGACAAGGGCAGGCACACACATATTCATAGCATTAGAATCCTAGATATGCTTACTTAGTATGCATTCGTAGAAAACACATAAAGAATTCATCAATGAGACAAGTAGTGAATCAATTTTCATCCATTCATAAAAGTAATTCAAACAATGTCATAACAAACTTGCAATCATATTCGAAACTTCAAACCAGCCCCTAACTTCTAAAAATTAGTTACACATAATCCTTAAATAAAAAAAATAAAAAAAAAAGACATGAGTTTGAGAAGATAAAACCGAGAGAAGAGAATGCCAAGATTTCCTCATTCCTTTCCTTCCTTTTCACAAAGCTGCCTTGTCCTTTTTCTTTTCTATTTTTTTTCCTTTTTTTCTTTTTTTTTTCAACGCTGCAACCTGCAGCCTTTCCCCTTTTTAACTTGCTGCCCCATTTTCTTCTCCTTAACTCACCCACTAACAGTCATTTAGTCATGGCAATAAGTGAGAGGAAATGGTAAAACAATTGTAACTCTTTGGGTAGCCTTTATGCCAATTACTCCCACTTAATCCTCATCCTTATTTCCATTTCCTCTTATATTTGAATAGGTGTCAGCTGACTTGTTCTTGGCTGCATCAGTTTTGGCTGCTAGATTTATTGGGTTTATTGCTTTCATTGCAGTTACAAACTGCTTAGTCTCTTGTGAACCTTTCAGTGTTAAAACGGCCATAAATGCTTCTACAAAATGATATTAACAATCCCCGAAATGCTCCAGAAAATAGACATCCGTAGCTTTCCAATCATATAAGGCTCATTCTCTAATTCATTTTGAGCCGTTCACAACTTGCTTCCAAAGTCAGCTGACCTGCACAGGCAGTTTTGACGAATTTGTTACTTAAAATCCCACTTGTGCTATTTTTCTTTTCTTTGCTTGACAAATCCTACAAAACACAAAAACAAAGTAAATAGCTCAAAAATATAAGGAACTAACTAAGAAAAGAGAAGTGAATTTGATGTAAAATATATATAAATGTGAGCTTATAAACTTGGCTACGTCACTCTCACGTGACGGCCAACACGTCTCGACTCCAGTCGGGGTGTGTCAATATGATCAAGGGACAAACATTTTCACAAATATTTTTACACTTTTTTTAAAACCTTTAGATTACAAAACATCCAAAGGTTCATATTCATTCATTAAATGACATGGATGCTTAAGTGGATTTTAACTAATATTAAACATAAAAATAAAATTTAAAAAGCATAAAATATGGAAGGTAATTAAAAATAAAATTAAAAAGGAAGAAACCTTTGTTTTAAGTGTGCAAACAAGAAAGGAGGTAGAACTCCATTGATTTGAAGTATTGTAACCTCCATCTCCCTCTTTGCCGATAAGGTCTGCAACTTTCATAGGATTGATATGAAATTTTGATGCCTACTACAACGAATCAAGCTATTACTCTCTTGAATCTTCATTACATAAGAAAAACGTACGAAACCCTAAACCGTATATTATTGTTCATATATGTAGGGTGATTAATTACGTTTTGCAAAATCTTTTTAGTTTTGTCGATTTAGGTCATTGATTCTGCTTTTTTAAGCTTTTCGAATCAAACAAACAACTTGATTTCATTCGTCTATGCTTTCAATTTTATTTTATTTTATTATTATAGCAGTTTCGTTTCCGTTGAGTATTAATCTTATCCCTAGTATCACTTTTTTTTTTAAATCATTCTTTTTTTGTTATTTATTAGGGTTCATTTTTTATAAAATGAAGGAGGAGATTTCATCCAAGGCATGGCAGGGAGGGAGATGGAGGTTACAGTATTTTCATGTTTTTGTTTTTCTTATTTTTTTTTATTTTTACGCTAGGTTCAAAGTTTGATTATTGGTTTTTTCAATTTTATCCTATTAGATATTAATTTTTAATTTAGATTAGTGTTTTCTTTATTAGTTATAATCTGCATCATCATCCAAGTCATTTAATGTTTAAAACTCTCCACATCACTCTTAATTTAGACCGTTGAATGTTATAAAATCTAAAGGCTACAAGGAAGTGTAACAATATTTGTCGAAATATTTGTTCCTTAATTCTATCCCTATATATATATATATGTTCTTCTTTTAAAAAATATATTACTCAACAATTATATATTAAATATTAAATTTAATTAATCTACAATATGTAATAAATTTATTAAATCCGCCTAGTCTGCCTAGACCTTGCATAGCCGCCTAAGCGCTAGGCCCCAGTTGGCCGCCCGACTAGCGCCTAGCGTCTTTTAGAACTATGTAATTAATATATTAAATAATTTAATATATATCGGCTTGGTTTTTAGACCACCAAAATTGAAACTGAACCAACCAATTTCGGTTTAGTTCGATTTTCTTAGTTCAGTTCATTCCCTTGGTTTAAAGAAAACAATGTGAGGAAGAAGGGTATTTGATTGGTGGAATAGTAGAATTGTTGTGTTTAGTTGGTGGAATTGATGTGAAGAAGAAGGGTGTTTGGTTGGTGGAATGGTAGATTTGTTGTGTTTGGTTGATGGAATTGGTTTGAAGAAAAGCTCCTGGATAATGTGAGTAAGAAGGGTGTTTGGTTGGTGGAATATTGGTTGTGTTTGGTAGAGAGTTATGAGATAGTTAAAGAAAAGCTCCTTGACAATGTGAGGAAGAAGGGTGTTAGGTTGGTGGAATATTAGTTGTGTTTGGTAGAGAGTTATGAAATAGTTAAATAATGATAGACATTATTATATTATTGGACCACTTAACATAGTAAGTACTAGTATATGCCACACACAAAATGCGTGTTAAATATTTTATTTTTTAATTTTTTAAAATTAGAGATGTTAAAATCACTTACCATTTATTGTATTATCCTTTTATTATAGATGAAACACATTTCACGTGGTTATAAATAAATAGAAAAAAA